AAACCATCACGGTGTAGGGCAAAAGTCGTACTTGGACAAGACAAACAAAAGACATACATAATTTTAATGGTAATTTCCTTTTTTTTCTTGCCCCAATACGACGTTTGCTCTCCAGCAAGTGAACCGGCTGGCTGCAAAGGGCCTATAAGGAAAACTGAGAACTATATATAGAACTCACTTTAACGTGAGCCTTAGTATTTGACACTTTCCGTGTTAGAAAAAAATTTTTAACACTGACGCTTTTAAACAAAATTTCTTCTCCTTTTATTTAATATGTTTGTAACCGTTGATTGCGGCCCGCCCAGGGCAGCTACCTATTTTTGTCTTGAAAGCGTCTGAGAACTCGATTTGTCGGGTAGCTTGTTTGCTACTTTGGAAGTTTGTTTCGATGTTTTATCAGTTCCCAGTCCCCGCCGCGTAGCACCCTATCCAGCATACAAGCAAAGTACAATAGCGGCCGAAATTTTTTATCCGAGAATTTTGTGAGCGCTAGAAAGTGAAAATCTATGATTCTTTCTGAACACGCTTTAAAAGGAAATGGCGATAAACTTGTTTTAAAAAGAGTTTCTTAGCATTCTTGAATCTGCAACCTGTTGGTTAGACATAGTATGAGGTTGGCAGTCAAGAGGCGGACGCGAGTGCAAGGAACAGTTTAATATGTTCCGGTAAGTTACTTATTCGCTTGTCATGTCAGTTGAAAAGTTATGTATTTTGGGAAGGTAGCGAACGTTTAGTTTCAAAGCGCCCTAAACAATCAGCTCAGCAGAATCGTTTTTAGCAGGTAACCTTCCTGTTGTAGTTTACTACTTTTTCTAAGGAGGTAAATGGAGCAACGAGACGAGCAAACAGAATTACAATTGAGGCCATAATTTGCCCTGGCAAAGAGGCGAATCAGAATCAAATAAGCGATTTGCTCACCGAGGTGGGCAAACTGAATTACGGTTTTCCTGTTCATTTAAAATACTTATTTGTATTGATCTCATGACTTAAAAAAATGAATACAATATGTACAGTCCAGTTACAATTCGCTAAATCGAAGATGCTTTCTGAAACCTTTCTCAGTTTTAAATATGTCTTTATTGTGTCAGTAACAATCCAAACCAATTTTGGAGTGTACGTGCATTTTATATACAACCTTTCATTATACAGCGTTTATTTTAAAAACATACCGATAATACATTAGTGAGATATATAAATGCTTGTTGTTATTGATTAAAATCTTTGGAAATTCATTGCTTGCATTTTGCTCTATGTTTGTTTTTATTTGAAACTAATTCTAAGAAAAAGCAGGTTCCGAATTAGAGTCACACATAAGGATAAAGCTGAAGATAAAAACACGCTTAAAAAATACAACATAACTCAACTATGTATTTTGTACATCATAGACTTCCTTTTGTCGCGTCACGCAACGCTCCTAGCTTTGACGAGACAGAAACGGCTGAGAGGGAGGCAACAATTTACTCTCGCCTTTTTTAATCTTCCAACCTTGAAGACCATTTGATATCCTAAACTGAGATACAATAGATTATTTATTACCGTTTCAACCCCTTGATCTTTCTACAAGGGGCCGCACTTCACTTCCAATATGGAACCTCTAGTTTTAATAACACTAATAGTTACCTCCAGTCAAATTACTCCTGGCCGCCGACAAAATATCAGCCACTTGTTCTAAAAAAAAAATTAAATAAAGTTTAATATCGCATATTCACTATGTCGTCGATGTGGTTCGAAGTCGGTCTTAAACTGTGGACAACTGGGGACTGAAAAACTCAAACGAACAACAAAAAGGAAATAATCAGCAAAAGACATTCAATGCACGGGGCATACCTTTTCGTCTTTCAAACTTATCTTCCCGACTTCTGCGCTCCTCAAACTCCTTAACCGTAGCTAACAGATCTCTTTTCTCCGTTTGAGCCAAAATCTCTTTCAAGATGCCAAGACGGTTAATTTCCAGGCAGTTGTTATTTTCCAGTTCCTTAAACAGTGATCGCACATTACGAATGTTGCCTTGCCTCTCTTGCGGTATCTTTTCTCTGCAAATTGAGACGAACCGCTCCACATCATTTAGCTCGTCGAGTTCTCGAATAATTTGCGTAAGTAAAACGTCATATTCCCTTCTTTTGCTCTCAAATTTTTCAACTTCTTCCAAAAAAGGCCATTCCTTGACACCTTTTAACAGGTCTTTCAATACATCCAGACGATCAGGTGCCAGAAATCCTTTTTTTTCCAGTTCTTCGAACAACGAGAAAGCATCTTGTTCGTTTCCTTCGCTTCGAGGCGCCACCTTCCCCCTACACATGGCGATCAACTTCCTTCCCACATTCAGTTTATCTAGTCTCTCGCTTATTTCGAAGATCAGGCGGTTGTAATCGACGGCAGACATTTCGACAACGGGTTTGATTCTTCAGTTTTAAAGCAATTACTGTTTTACTCACTTCCAGTAGTTTAATATTTCCATGTTTCAAGACGCACACAATCATTGAGGTGTTTGTTTCGCTCCAAGTGTCACGCAACATCACAATAGTTCGTTGCAGGGGTTATTGCAGTGTCAGCCACCACCTCGTTCCCAGGGTTCTGTCCAACTCGACGATAAAGAGCATACAGTGGAACCCCCACCGCGTTATTACGACCACTTTTCTTTGGCCCGAACAAAAGCCCACTCATTTTCTTATCTGAAAACCCCGTTAATCCGACCACCCCGTTATTACGATCAACGACCACCTTTGGGTGTCCTGAGTCGTTATTTTCTTTATAAAATTACCCCGTTAATACGACCAGTCAAAATGCTTGGTGGGGCTGCTGAATGAAAACAGGCACAATCTGACAAACAATAACCCATTACTAATATTTTATTGAATGTTTTTAGGCAAAGGTGTTAGTGGTTAGCATGACATCCGGTAAATTGCTGTGTGCAGTAAAAAGGATGCTTGAATAAATAATACAAAAGATCTGAAAGACTTCACTTTGCAGCATTTCGAGGCTCTCAAAGTTATTTTGCCTTATTGTTTCTGCTGCCTTCCACTGTGGCTTTTCTCTTCAAGTCCATTTCCTGTTCTTTTCTCCCAGAACTTTGAACTTTGTAAAGATTGTCAAAGTGTTGTACGCTACAATATAGAAAACGGCTCTTCGAGACAAATCACAAGCCCTTTCCTTTCATAACAAGGAACTGAAAGAAGTCGGTGTTTTTTCTCATTACTCGGTTTCGTTTACTGTTACATTGTTCAGTTGCATTGAATTGCGGTTGTAAGGTTGTTATTGATTGTTAATTAACTGCAAAAAGGTTGATTTATAACGGATTAAAGGTATACATGTAGTAGAATGTAGTTTAAAAGCATTTTGCACCATACTTTGACCCTACCCCGTTAATACGACCACCCCGTTAATACGACCAAATTTCCATGGCCCGAAGGTGGTCGTATTAACGGGGTTCCACTGTACTAAAGACACATAGCGGAACAGAAGCCGCGCGGGCTGTCTGTGCTGTTCCCTCGTCGTCTCTTCTGGGCGACTTGTAGCCTGTGTACAGACGTCCCCTCCTCCCTCAGGAAAAAATCGGGAAAGGAGATGTCTGTGAATCGCCGACAATAATCGTGTTCCTGTTTCCCCGGAATGTTGGGGACAGCCTCTGATTGGTTGTAATGTTAATGGCATGACGCAAATAATTTCCGGTGTTGTGATTGGTGAATGAGACTCAGAATAGATTCCCCAGGGAAAAGCTCAGCCTTTGTAGACATTCATATTTGTTTACCGGTATTTGTATTTCGGCTCTCTCGAAAAGGCATGAGAAGTTAAGACCACCGATGTTTGCTGCACCGGTTGCGGATGCGTCTGTCTGTACCGGTCGGTATTGCAAATAAAAGAGAAGGCATACAAAATCCAACGTTAACAGCCAAGGCAGGTCAAGCTTACCCCAAAAAGATTGTATTCATGAATTTATTATTTGAAAAAATGAATCCGTTGGTCGTTCCCGTAACTGGTGTCTAATTTAAATCGGCATTCCTGTATGCGTAATGAGCAGTGAATATTTTAAGAGAACTTCTCTGCATTTGGTCGGATTGAAAACCTTTGAATGGATTAAATGTTTTAGAAGACATTTACATCAAATTCAGGGAAACGGAGCTTGTAGAAATTTAGTAACTAAATCGCGTGTGAATTCACGGCTCATTACGCATGCAAAAATGCACACAGACATGAATCTGAAATCTACAACTACCAACGGTTCAAATTAATTTCGAATAATAAATACATTAATGGCTCTTGGGAGGTACGCTTGACCTGGCTTGACTGTAGTCAAAGATCTCATATCTGGATTTTTGGGTGGACATTGCGTGAAGATGTTCGGCTAGCCCGTGCACACACGCCAGAGCTATTTTTCGACCTACTTGTGCCTTTTCAACTGTCAGCGAAAGAACAAAAAAATAATTCATGCAAATGTATACCGGAACACGATTAACGACGGCGATTCACAGACGTCTCCTCTCCCGATTTTTCCTGAGGGAGTGGGGACGTCTGTACACAGGCTAGGCGACTTGAAGCCTGTTGTGTTCACACGGACCGATTGGTCGCAGAGACCTATCTTGACGGTTTGTTTGTCGATGCGAACCTGATTTTTACAAATATCACCAGAAAGAGGGTGTGAATGGGAGTAGTATTCCAGGCTTATACAGCAAGGTCCGTCATATAGTGGTCGCGAAATTAATTTATGCAGGTCATATTATAAGATGAGGGTGTTTTTAATGTATTCAAGATGGTATCCCTTTCAGTCATGTTGTCCGTCACTCATTACAAATTCAAGATGGCCGACCTCATGTAAGAAGACGAGTCCTTTATGTAGACATCACGCAAAATTCAAGAAGGCCGACCTCATGTTAGAGTACGAGTCGTTATAGGAACTTAGGGTGAGCGGACCTGATATTGGTGTACGAACATGATAGCTTACACTTGTGGGAGAGAATTTTTGTCCCTTGCGCGAAGGTGCAGTACGCATGCGCAGTAGGGAAAATCGTGTGAAAACGTTTCAAAACGTTTTTATGACCAAACTCATGTTAGAAGACAAAGACTGTCCAGAAACCAAATCAACCTACCATCAACCCGCCATCAACCTACCATCAACCTGACATCAATCCCACATCAACCCGATACTATAAGGATCTCATGTTAGAGTAAAAAAGACAGACAAATAGTCACATCATTTTATTACATTGCAAATCACAAGTTTACATTCAAGGTTTACAGAGTTTTAAGATATCTTTGGCAATGGACACACAACAAATCAAAGTCTCCGATGATATTATTGTAAATGATAGTCTTCTCTGTTTCTCTCTTCTTGGTTCGAATACGTTATTTCAGGTCTTCAATCTGTTTCTCTCTAATCTGTAAAAGAGTTCGCATCATTGCCTAGACATGTTCAATTCCCTAAGGACTTTATCTTTTCTGTCGCATACGTGTCACAGTAAGAAATAGCTTTTTCACAAACAGCGTCACATACTTGTTTGTTCCATTCAAACAATAACGAGTTTAACGTTTCAAAGTTCAGAATCGTGACTGGAGATGTCTTCTACAATGAGGTCATGCATAAACTCTTCATACCCTGGAACCTTGGAAGTGTCTATCGCTTGTAGTAGTTGGTCCATCTCGTTGTTACTATGGTCTATCGGAAATGAAGGCTTGTTGCTTCAAGAGGGTGAAAAAGGGGGTTAAGCGAATGCGAAATCGTACTGATTTTCGGGCAAAACATGAAAACGAGGTCGAAGCACAGAGGTCACCCATCCAAGGACGAACCCCACACGACAGGACTTAACTTCGGTGATCGGAGTGCGATTACCCTAAATGTTTGTCAGTGGAGTGTATAATTTCTAGTATTAAGGGCTTGCTAGCAAGAAGTAGACCGGCAAATTATATTAAGGAAAAAAAATCACGCTAGAAGCCTACAATACGGGATATTCCCAGGTGGTCACCCATCCAAGCACTAACCCTGCCAGACAGGACTTAACGTTGAGGGTTAGGCGAATGTGACATCGTACTGATTTTTAGACAAAACATAGAGACGAAACCGAGCACAGCGGAGCGATAGAGCTAATAAATATGCAAATCCTAGACTGTGAGTAGCATGCCTAAACTTGTCGTGCCTCTTAAAACAGTAAAGAAATGCGCATGCATGCTATTTAATCTTACTCCCATGTTTTGCGCTTTAAAGTAGATTCTAGAGTAAATCGTTACTCTTCTGTGTCGTAATAATAAAGACATGCCGTAATATAGGTTCTTTGTCTTTTATTCTATAAAGTCCACACGAATAATTGTACAGAGTGCATATTGGACGCTAGTTAACTTGTTTGCACCAATAACATTTTTAAATAAATTGTCCGGCTTGCACCGTGTCTTCCAACTTGGAGCGCTTTATTTTATACACGGTACCATCTTCTACGAGTACTAACTTGCGTTTCTTGCCTCTCGTTTCGACAGATTTTACATCCACTACTTTAAGAGTGCGTCGCTTATTGTTTGCAGGTAAAAGTAGAACTTTGTCATGGTCTACAATCCCAGCCCACTCCCCTTTTTGTACAATTTTACAAATTGCAAACTTTCTTTTAGTGGAGTTGTTTACACGTAATTTGTTTATAACTAATTGACACCGCCTCGGGAGACTAGTCTGGTTGTAAAATCTAAGCTAGCATCACTACGATGTTTAAAGTAGCAAGCGCTCGACATCTCCAAGAAAGTGTCTTTTGACTTGTTTTCTTTAGTACCAGCAGCACCTTTAATTCGGTCACACACTTCGATAATATCTATAGGTAACTTGGCAGCTAAAGTCAAATTGGCGAGACACCAATTTTCTTTTTCGGACCATTTTTCTACAAATTGTCCACTAATGTCCTTCGTCACTTCATTGTATGTGTACACAAGTAACACAACATCGTGTGTTCTGTCAACCACCACTAAACTGTGCAGCATAGAGTCACAATATGCCCTCCAGGTGTCTGCGAATGGAGTGGAGTAAACTAAGCTTGGTGTAACATAGTCCGTTATACGGGTAAGAGTGTTCTCCATAAACTCGTCGCTAGGAACCTGGTCTTTGCAATAAAATGTCACTTCTGCACGCGTTAATCCCCTTTCTTTGGCTAGATCTCATGCGTTAGCAAGCTGGGTGTTATCCCGACAGACCCAATCCTTCCAGTGCTGCCCCACCGTTTCGCGAACACTCTTGCTCTCTAACATTTGCACCATTTTGTTGTAAATCTTACGACGAGTTGTCAGTCCATCGACCGTTTCCATGTAAGTCAGGCAGTTATTGCCTACTTGGTCGCTGTTGTCGAGTATCGTTCTGTCCTCATCTGCCCTGTCGCCTTGGATGCGAAAACCTTTGTTACAGGTAAGAAAGCGTATAACGTCTTCTTTGTCAAAACTACCACTATAATCCATGGTTAAGTCTATATCCTTTAGGAAAATGTTCGTTAGTAGTCGTCGGAGCGTAAAAACTTTAAAACTTTCAAATATTCTTCA